ACCCGCTCGAGGCTGACCCCGTGATCGTCTCCCTCTACTACCCTACTACCCCGACCCCGAGGCGATCAGCGAGGACTGCAAGCAGACCTACCCGAAGGGCGAGGCTGAACCCGCCTTTGTCAAAGCGGTCAAGGAGTACCACCGTATGCTTACCTCGCAGTGCAAGGCCCAGGACATCATTACCCAGGCCATCGACCAGCGCATCCTGACGCATGTCATGCACAAGGCTTACGGCGCCAAGCGCGGCAGCTCCGTCTCGCTGGCTCTGGTTTTCAACACTCTCAAGGACCACTGCGTCGGCCTCTCCGGCACGTCCAAGGCCGCCTCTATGCTCAACCTCATCTCGCTACAGCGCTCGCACAGGGAGAGCGCGCTCAAGTGGCTCGACCGCGTGCAGCGCGCCTTCAATTCCATCTCGCACCTTCCCTGCAAGCTCAAGGATCTAATCCTGTTCATCTCGCTGCGCGGGCTCGGCGAATCTTACTCCTCGCTCATGCAGTCGACCATTAACGACCCCGCAAATTAGCGGCGCCTCGCTTCCGACGTCCTCGCGACCCTGCGCGAGAACCTCGCCGCCATCACGATGCTCTCCAACACCAACGGCGCCGACAGGCGCAGCGTGAACGTGATCACTTACGGCGCGGACTCCAACCGCAGCTCCAACAACTCGCGCGGCGCGGCGCGTGGCGGGCGCGGCAACCTCGCGCAGGGCGGGCGCGGTGGCGGTCGCAAACCCCCGCCGAGCCGCCCCGCTATTCCTCTCCCCAAGCAGGCCGCGCGCGAAGAGCGCCCTCGCGACGAGCGCCCTCCTTCGTGCTACATGTGCAAGCTTCACAACCAGGCCTCGGACCACCACCAGCGCGACTGCCCTGCTACATCTTACTAAGGCAACCCCTCGGTCAAGGCGGTTGACTTTGATGAGCAGACTCAGCAGCTGCGCAAGAAGCCATCGTCCTTTGTCAACATGGTCCAGGTCTCGCGCAACTCGTACGGCCCCGACAATTCTGACGTGCTCGCTATCTCCTACGACGAGACCTACCCGCCGCTCTTCACCCGCAAGCTGCCGCACTTCGACAAATTTAAACTGCTGCTCGCCTTGAGCGCTTCGAGTGCTCCGCCGCCTACATCGCTTCCTACGCCAAGCCCTTCGAGCGCTCCGCCGTCTACATCACTTCCGACATCCCCTCCAAGTTCATTGCCGGCAAGACCAAGCCGCTCTTCAACTTCATCGTGGTGATCGTCTTCATCTTCGGGTTCATCGCGACCATCTTCCTCTTGGCCATCGCAACGGCCAAGCCCTCCCACGTCTTCGCAATTGGCAACGGGCAGGAGATCATCAACTCGAACGGCCTGGCACAGCTGACCGACTACTTCGAGATCTCCAAAGTGTACTCCCTCCTCGGCAAGGGCTTCCAGAACTCCCGGCCCTCTCGCAGATGAGCGACTCGGGCCTCTTCGACTCCGGCTCGAAACTCAACCTCGGGCTGATGGACTACCTGCCCTTCCTGACCGACGTGCAGCCCACGAACATGCACGCTTCCGCTGCCAACTCCTCCAAGATCGTGTGCAAGTACAAGAGCACCCTCTCTGTTGGCTACCGCCTGATGAACAACTCGCTTGTGACGGCCAAGGTCGACAACTTTTACGTGTCCCCCGACGTCAAGCGGCTCATCTTCAACGAGTCCGACCTCTGCAAGCAATGGGACGCCGAACTCGTGAGCCTCTCCAAGCAGACCAAGTTCTCCATCAACGGCTTCGACGTTGACCTCCAGCAGGGCCGCTACCTCATCACCCCGCAAGGGATCGCAGAGCTCAAGGACATGTGCATCATCATGGCCGTCTTCACAGCTACCTCAGACGCCCTCGTGGCATCCGTCGACACGGCTTCCCCTCCATCACCGGCCATCAACCAGACCGGTGACAAGGATATCGGCACCTCCAAGGAAACGCTCGTCGGCCATGCCGACTCCGAGACCTGCTCGGACTGTTCACCCGCCGCAGCCGCCCGTCAACTTCCTCTCGACGACAGTTCCCCCTCGACCATCGACAAGCGCATCCTCCACGCCCGTTTAGGACACGCTTCGACCCGTACACTCAACGTGACCATCTCGGCCACGGACGGGCTACTCACCTCTCGACGCCTCAAGCAGATCTGTCCAGCTTGCGCGGATGGTAAGGCGATCAAGCTGACCTTCAACGACGCCCGTCACCAAGCTGCACAGCCCTTCGACACCGTCAGCGTCGACATCATAGGCCCCATCAACTCCCTCGAGTCCTTCCGCTCGAACGACCCATCGATGGGGTACTACTTCATGTTGTTCCTCGACCAGTTCTCCAACTACGCGTCGATCTACCAGCTCGAGACCAAGTCGCAGGCCCCCGACTTCCTCGACAAGTTTCTTGAAGAATCCCAGACCTACACCGTCTCCCTCGGCTCCCTCGTTCGGCAATTTCGGCTTGACGGGGCCAAGGAGTTTGACTCGGCACGCTGGAACGGCATCCTTCGCATCAACGGCATCGGCGGGTCCGAGATCACGCCGGCAAGGACTCCCCAACTCAAAGCGCACGCAGAGCGCTACTTCGGCACCATCACCCGGGACGCGCGCGCACTACTTGCTCAAGCCAGCCTTCCCGACTCGTACGCCGACTCCGCCTTCCTCCACTACGTGTAAATTCGAAACCGGCTTGTCTCAGACTCGTCGGCTGGCGTGACGCCCTATCAGCACATCCTCTGCCGCCGCCTCAACCTGTCGCACATCCGCGCCTGGGGCTCGGATGCCTGGGTCGTCGACACCCACTCGCATCTCTTCAAGCTCGACGCGCGCGCATCGTACGGCATCCTGATCGGTTACGGCGACTCTGGCCACATGATCAACGCGCCGGCCGGGGCACTCACTCGCTACACCAACGCGGCCGTGATCAAGCTCCACCCTTCTGGCAAGGTCGTCCTCAACCGGCATGTGCGGATCGATGAGAGCTCCGTTATCAACCGCATCGCGACGCGCCAACGACTTCCTCTTGGCGACCTACCTGCTCCCAAGGGCGACTCGTTGCTCGACGCCCCCGACCTGGAGTCCATTCCCCTCGGCAACACTGCGCCGCTCGCTCTGCCGACTTCGGGACCCTCGGCGCGCACGCTCCGCTCCGCCTGCAAGCAGAACATCTCGTACGTGTGCGCCCTACTCGCTTTCGTCGCCGAGTCCGACCAGCCGACGCTCAAACAAGCTGTCTCCGGTCCACACTCGGCCGAGTGGCTCGCCTCCATCCAGTCAGAGTACGCTTCCATCGACTTAACCGGCACCTGGGTCGAGACCCCTCAGCGGCCCGGCATGAAGGTCCTCAAGACGGGCCTCGTTCTCAACCTCAAGCGCAAGTCCAACGGCACCATTGACAAGTACACATATATATAGCGGCTCAGCATGGTTCAACAGGTGTTGTTCACTCACTGACTTGGTCGACGTCAGACGTTAGTCCTGTCAGCAGGGATGGTGGTGGTAGAGGTGAGGTTGGTGGTGATTTCGTAGCAATTGCCACAGGTTCCCCCCCCCCCCCCCCCCCCCACACACACAACGCTCACGTCCATTTAGGTGCGTGTGCCCTGTCCGCCGTGGCCGCCGCGGCCACCGCGGCCGAGGCGTGCGCCCCGGTCGGCATTGTGGCTGCGCCAGTTGTCGTCACGGTACGCGCCGTATATATATAAGTACTGCCTATAATTAATTTGTTTGCCATCCTGAAACGGCCGGATCGCGCCGCCCGCTCGCGAGGCAGCCCGATGGGCTGCCTCGCAAAGCTGTTGTACGCACTGCTATCGGCCACCTCCATTACGGACGCTTCATCTACTACCTCATCCACCGCGCCTCCGCGCGGTTGCTCGCGCCATGCGCGCGCGAACAAGTTCACGGCATTCAAAACCCAAACCCGCCATCAAGTGGACTCGCTCGCGCTCGACGTCTCGGCTCCTTCGGCTCC